ACTAATATACTTTGGGCCAGAGAGCAAATGATCTTTTTGTGCAGGCTCTCCTTTGCCTGTAGATTTCAGAAGATGGAAATTTCAGGCTTCTAATGGAAATTCAGTTTCAGCCACGACTGTAAAACACCTCCAACGCCTCAGAGTTATGAGTTTCAGATGAGCACAGTCCTGTTCTACTTCAGATAAAATATTCCCGATTTACATCCTCGCAAATGAGATCACCTGCTAACGCAAACATTTTTCCGTGATTTAAGTCTCATAAAGAAGGGGGAAAGCCATTCATACATATTTTAGAGAGAGGGAGCCCCTGCAGCTCATTCAAACGCCGAGTGAGGCACAAATGTGGGAGGAATTTAATGAATGAAGAAAAAAACACAAATCCTGGAGAAAGCTTTCTGATCAGTCATTAAGGATGACCTCAGTAAGGGCAAGACCAAGCACTCTGTTGGCTGGAGTGGGTGGTCTGGGGGGTCTCACTCAGTACCTTTCCACCACCAGAACAATTTTTCCAAGTCTTTTTTGTTCCTGTGCTGAGAAGGGACAAGATGATAACAGTGGTTGGCACTAGCGAGTTAATTTTATAACAAAAACTGACATCCTACTCGAGTGCCAGCAATTTAAAAGAGTAATGGATCGTCAGTTTTAGCTGGAAAGTGGTTGTTATATGATTTTAGAAGTCTTTTGCATATTTATTTTGTCCCACTTTAAATAAATTTGGGCAAGATTTATCTCGTTAGCTCCAAATGCAAGTCCCTCTTGGCCTGATTGGGGAAACAAATTAGACTTTGCAAACATTGCAAAGACTAAATCAATACATTAATATTTAGGGGACATTAAGGAGGTTTATTAAACAGAAAAAGGGCCTTGAGTATTACTTTGGAAATATTACCCATGTTTAAATAAAAAAATATAGGTTGCAGTTTCTGACTGAATCTATAAATTGCATTTACATAGATAAGTGAATTATTTACATGTACGCCATGTCAAGTGCAGATTACTTAAAGAAATGAGATGACGCAGAGAGGGCAGGGCAGGAGCAAGTGTCACGTCTCACATGCATGGGGTCTGTCCCGGGAGGAGGCCCAGACATGTCAGCTAACAGGTAAGACAGTTTTTGTGTCGCCGATGCCCTGGCGTTAGTGTTTGGGTACTGCTGGGAAGCCCTGATGAGATGAGGAACCGGCTCCCGTGAGACGGGGAAGGCAGGGGCTCAGCAAGGCTGGTAGAGGTGCTGGGTAGTTGGGGACAGCAGGGGCAAAGGGGGTGACACACGTTCTCTGCACCTCAAAGCCTCAACCACGGACCGGGTGTCCATGACAGACCAAATCACACATCTCGACAGCCCGCCCCCTGACGCAGAGCATGCCGGCGCATCCTGGTCCCGCTGTCTCCAGAAGCATCTCCAGGCTCCTCGTTCACCTCCGGGGAGGAGCAGAGCTGTCAGACCGTTGGCCCCGTCGCCAGGAGAAAACCATGGAAAAACGGTCACCCCTGCCCCCCCAGCCCCGAGGGAGCAGCCATCCTGAGCTTTGGCTCTGCCACTGTGCTGTGGGCACCAGCACCCTCCCCTCACCTCACCAGACTCACTTATATTTGTAAAAATCCCATAAAAGTGCTCTCCCTTACCCGGGAGGTTTGTTCTCCCCTCCTGGGATCCCCACCAGGGGTGTTCATCAAGCACACAGAAAATTCTCCCCGAGCCCTCCTTCGCGAGGTCACACAACGGCACCCCTTCCTCCTCGTGGGGGGCTGAGGTCCTTCTGAGCACCCTGTGCTGGACTATCCCCGCCTGGAGTCCCGAAGCCTGACCTGCCCCTTCCCCACGCGATGACACCGAACGAGAACTGGAGCCCTGGGACTGTGACCTGCCGCTCCGCCCCGTGGCACAATTAATTCTCAAGGACACCGGCAAACACGTCTTCGTGTTTTTGCAAATTGAAAGGGAAACACAGCTTGGGGAATGCAATTTAAACTCTGGTAGAATAAATGTCAGATTAGAAATGGCAGAAATTGCAACCTTTTGCTAGAAAAATTATGAGCAATAGAGCCTGGTAAGACGTATTTCATTTTTTTTCCCCGTTTTTCTACTTTACCGTGGCAACCGTCTGATGTTAAATCATCTCCAACTCATGACTTCACAGATGAAGCATCTGGCACTGAGGTAGGCTGAGTTGATTACAAACTCCTACCTTCTAAACTTTTAATTACTTTATAATTCTCATTTCTTTTCTAAAAAGGTCCCTGAAACAGAGTTAACTGGATTATCTTCCTCTCTTTTACGTGATTTTTCTTTCGCTGATGTAAAGTGGGCTGAAGACTTTTTTTTTTAGTTAACTATCTTGATTAGTTTACTTGGTACAAGAAGGCGTAACCATGTAGTAAGTTAACAGTGACTTAGAGGTGACTTAGTGGTCCTGTTAAAGCATTGGGCAGGGATTTGGGAGACAGAAACTTGAATTTGAGCTCTGCCAGGGGCTCCTGATTGACGCCAGCCAAAGCCATCAGTCTCGCTGCTCCCTGCATTTGCGCATAGGACAGGGATGGAGGAGACTGCTGCTTCCTTTCAGCCTTGGCTACCTGCTGGTCATGATACTTTTCTGTCTCACTCATGGAAATTAAGGCATCTTTAACCCATTAAAATGTATTTTTTCTCGGAAACAAATAAATATGTTTGGAAATTGTCAGCCCAAGTAGCACAGGAAAGGTTATCAGGGATGACAGCTGCTGGCTCTGTGTGTATAGAAAGACTTCACAGATACACCCAAAAAGGAAAAAAAGAAAAAAAAATAGAGAGAGTTGGATTTACATGGCTTTAAAAGTGGAGTTTCACAGCAAATAATTTTGCAGTCTGGAGTTTGAGCCTATCTGGGCGCTTGCGATCAGAGAGAAGCCTCTACTTGTTTAATTTGTGACACAATGCCCACACCCCCGGCTCTTCCAGCTCTGCTGCTTCCAGCGAGAGAACATCTCCTTTCAATGTTACTCCACAGAATACAACCTGTAGGGCAGAAGAATTTTAAAGGACTAAGACTTTGCTTTTAAATTTTCTTTTTGTCCTGTTTTTTCATGTGCTGCTCTAGGTCTGGCGCTGATCATTTATTCGCAACGTAAAAGGAAACCCAGACCTTTGAATGATTTTTCTTTGGCAAAAGACCCGCTTTTCCCTTCATTTATCTCTCCCCAACAGCAGAAGTTGTTTCTAATCTTGAAATACAAAGCCACGAACAATATTAAAAGGAAACATAAAACTGCTTCCATAAAATGTTATTATATCGTCCCGATGAACCCTGTGCAGCAGGAAAGGATATATAAGCTTACAGCACCAATTAGCTGTTTGATGTTTCCTTTACAGCCTCGGCTACTTTCAGACAGGTCAATCTCCATCTCAAAGGATTCATGAATCTTGCATCCTCACCTCTTGCCTCACCGCACACGGAAGGGTGAGGAGAGGGCTTTTGTAGCAACGGCAGTGCCCGAGCCCGCAGGCTGGATAACGACAGCAGCAGGCGCGACGCTCTGAACTACCCTGCAAACCCCAAGGTCTGTTCAAGGTGGGATCCCATGAGCGAGTGGCGGGATTTACATCCAAACCACCGAGCACCCATCTCACATCTGATGGTGACTGATGTCTCCAGTAACATGGACATAAAGGTATGAGACCCAACCACCACAAATGGCCACAACCATTGCTGCGAGGGGCTGGGGTATCCTCTGGAGCTGCGGGTCCTGCTCAGAGGATGCAGGACCTCTCTCTGAGCAAGGCAGCTCAGCAGCTTTCCCTTCTTGCTGAGGTCTAAGAGAACCATCCAGCAGAAAACATGGGGCCAGCGACGTTTTCTAACTTCATCACTTGTTCTGGCTACGCTTCGTGGAGCTGGTCTCCACCTCCCATGTAACATCTAACCAGAATAACACTGGAGTAACTGAATATATACATGAAATGGAAAAAATAATTTGTACCCAATCCCAGAGCACTCAGATATTTCTGCAGTCCCTGAACAACTACCCCCCACGTAAACAGGACACTTACGGGTCTTGCGCAACAGCCGCCTCCGAGGAAGGTTATAAAAATGACGAAGTGATGGCTTTTTGGCTGTACTAATAAAATAACGCTCTTTCTGCAACAAATACGCTCAGCTCTGACAAAGCAACAGCCTCGCCTTCTTACAAACCATCGGGGTCTAAAGGTCCAGTGGTTAAGAATAATTAGCTTGACAAGCATTTCACATGCGTTATTTGCAAGGGATTTTGGTGTGCCGTATGGATTAATAGAGATTACCATTTAAATTCTTCTGGTTTATATTCATTACTTTATTACTCATAAAAATGCACAAGAAAATGTTAATGATGATTACACCAAAGACTAATAAGTTAAAGCCTTAGGTTATGCTTTGCATTTCTGAAGATATAAATGCAATCGCTTAATAATTATGCATATTTTTAACTATTGAGTTATTATTTCTCTATATGCTCATAGTTAGCCTAATTAATTTTAAGCTCCTGTTTATATTTTTTACACATGCAATTAATTTCCAACTTCTTTTTTCTTTTTTTTTTTTTTAGCCCCTTGCATGAGGGCATTAACTATCACAAAGACAATCAAAACAAAGAACTGTGCACCGCAGAAGAATACACTGCCAACTACTTCCACAAGTGCAAACCCGACACGGTTGCTCTGCAGCATTTGCACCAAGAAAGCATCTCATGAAAACAAATGGACGGCTCTTATGGGAAGAAACAAAAAATTTATGGATTTTAATTAAAAATCGGCTTATTTTGACTTGTGGGGAGCTGTGCCTGAGGTACAGCACCAGTGTTTGCCTTTTGTGTTGTTACACCTTGCTCCATTGCCGAAGAGAAGAGAAGAGAAGAGAAGAGAAGAGAAGAGAAGAGAAGAGGTAAAAAGCTTTAAAATGTGCTTAGATGATGTTTCCCAACTACGAGCGCAGACTTTTCTAGTACATCTCCAATAACAATTTGCAGTTGGTTTCAACACGTACCTTGTACAGTTAAGTGCACCTGCATGGTTCTAGGAGTGTGCTGGGTCTGCACAGAGCAGGTGTAGGGCCCGTCATCCGTCACGTCCACATCCTGGATCTGCAGGCTATATTCTCTTCTGTTTGCTGTCGCGATTGACACTCGAGGGTCCACCGACCACTTGTCACCTCCAGCAAAAATAATGCTTGACCGGTTCAGCCAGGCACCTTTTGAAGCTCCATCTTCCAAGTAACACCTAGGAAAGAAGGTGAAACTTAAAATATGAAAATGTAGGAGCTTTTAAACACCATTAACTTGCTACTGATTTTTAAACTGAACACGGTCACGCTCTTGTACTTGAACCTCAAAACACGAGTCATTGTTAATTCATAAACCATCATAAATCCATAAGCCTGTCTTACAAACACACAAGAAGCATAAATGGATTTTTCTGCTACATTCTTCCTTTCTGACTTTCCTGCTGCGAGTGGTCAGTGGAGCAGGACATAGAAAGTCCAAGTTATTTCTGAATTGGACCCAATGACCTCCTTGGAGCAGCCCTTTCTGCTTCACTTAGGGAACCAAGAGACTTTTTCCACCAAAAACTATAACTACATCTCAGTATCCAAGCCAATATTTTTTTTCTTTTCAAAAGGTTATTAGATTGGTAATTGCTAATATTACTCATGACACCTTGTTTAAAGCAAACATACATTTAATTAGCATGGATTTCCCTGCTGACAACGACAATGAAATATAAAGCGTAACTCTAGTGATTTTTTTTAAAACACCTTTGGTATGTTAGTGCCACGTCTGACATTATGTATATATAATATATATATTTCTATATTTCTATATGTATATGCACACATATATACACATACACATATGTACGTATACATATATATATACACACACACATATATATATATAACTGACATTATTATAACAATAACCAGAAATTGTGCTCTTCTGAGTCACCAGAGCTCAGCGAATAACAACACCCCTACAACCAGAAGTATCCCAGACAGGTTCCTTTGCTTCCACAGCTTACTTCAGAAATATTCCTCTGCAAAGTAAAGACTGTGCTTTTTTAAAATGAGTAAAAAGTACAGCTGGAGAATGAAAAAACATATAACTGAGGAGTTTGACAGCAGTTTTACACGACATCTCGAGGGGCTGAGCACGGCACTGGAGATTGCAAGGGACTTGGAGCAGGATGCTCCAGTGTGGGCACTGCCTGAACCTAATCACTCGAGAAATACAAAGAACAAGGCGTACTGCGAAATCCAATCTGCAGTCCCCTTCGCCATCTGTAGAACCAAAACCCAGTAGGAGTATTAAAGGTCAGTGCTAATTGAAAATCTTTTCCGTAGATAAACAAACCCCCCCAAAAAAGCCGGCCAGGCATAGCAGAAGCGTAACCTTCTCCAGAGGTAATTAGGCACTGCAATGTGCTGCTGTTGTCAATATTTTGTGTTGTCTGTTAGGACACCTTTGTAATTCCTCTCTAAAACAGCTTTCTGTCTTCAGCTGCTTGCCGCTGGGCGATGCCAGAGGGTACAAAGCTGAGGAGCCCCCGGAGCAGCCACGGAGGCTGGTGGGATGAAGGTCATCCCAGCAGATGCTCTAAACCTTAATGGAACCGATGGCTTGGGAGTAGCCCTCAGATTTTTCTGGAAAGAAAAGCTGGCAAAGCAGGAGACAGAGAGGACTCTACAGACTGCTCCTCAATACCACAGGCACGCTGACTGTGTGCTCGAGTGATGCCTGGATGATGTGATCTGTGCTTTGGGGCGACTGACAGCGAAAATCAGAGAGTCTGGGGAGGAACTTCAGCCAGAGCGATGAGTTTTGTCAGGAAAACATATGACAGAAAACGCAATGACGGGAGGAAAACCTGTAAAGAGCAGCAGAGCACAGGACTGCGTGAAGTATGAGACTATAGCGAGAACATGGGCACTGGAGATACTTCAAGTTCTACCTTGCTGTAGACAAGGAAATACTGGTCACAAAAAGAGAAGGAATGGTGACAGGAATTGGGACCTGAGCAAAAGCAAATGGTGGTAGCTGGGGTGCAGAATGTGGAGAAGAGGGCTGGGAGCAGGGCGTCCAGGAGGAACGGATGGCAAGGAGAGCCCGTCGTCATGCTGAGAAGTGAGGGGATGGAACTGAAAACCTGAATGAGCATTATGCTGCAGTTTTCCATGAAGAAGGTGACATCCAGCACGTGGAAAAAGGCAAGAGCAGCTGTTGGAGTTGAGGGCAGAGATAAATCTCCCTGCAGTCATGTCTGAGAGCGTGAAACTGTGCATCCAGGAGCTTGGGGGGGGTTTACACAAAGCGAAAGCGATGCCATGCAACCGGGAACTCAGAAACGTGTGATCTGCATGTAAGAAAATGCAGAGAGTGAATCAAGCAAATGTTAGGCTAACCACCGTGCCCACAATAGAATTTAAGGCTTTAAAACAACTTTAAAAGTTGAAAGAAGGCAACACAAAGTGTAACAGACTAATGGGACATTTTTATTTGATAAAGAGGGTTGGGGTTTTTTTACATGAAGGAAACTCAGCAGAAGAAGAGAATGCAATAGATCTCATCTCTTTGATAAAACATTTAAATAGCACGACTATGGAAAATGTTAGGTGGGAGAAAATGGTGATTTTGTAGCTTAAGCAAAGGGTGGTATTGTTTAAGGGGAAAAATGACATTCCCTTCAGGAATAAGAAACTAGAAGCACCAGGCTGAAATTCTTCAGAAATGGATCATGAATGCAACCATTCATCTAATTAACGGGCTCAACACGAAACCTGAAAGAGTTCTGAGAGGAGCTGCACATGATATGGGATGAAAAATGGCCGTTTATCCAGCAGAGACTTGGGATGTCAGGGGAAGCATCGCTTTGAGGATGGAGAGTGCAGCCGATGGCTGCGGATCCCTGCGGGAGCAGTTCTGTGGGGTCTGGTGCTGCTGCGGGAAGGCAAGCAGCCACTTTCAAAGTCTCCTGAACATTTGAAAATGGATTGTAACAAACAGAAGACTGGGGAGAGGCAGAGAAACCTCATATTCACCAACATTCTTCTACAATGCCTTTCTTTTCTACTGTCATTTCTGCAGCAGCTGGATACAGTCAGTTGTAAAGGACTATTTTTGAAGGTAGCCTGAGGTTTCATGACCATTTACCATTTTACTCAACTCCCTTGTTGTTTACACACATCCAAAAGCTCACAAGGAAGGGTTAGCTCTACAGCTTCTTCCCACAAGAGAGAAAACCAGCCTCGAACTCCCTTGCAGCTTGCAAGGAAAAAAAAAAAAAAAGTTTTGTTAAAAAGAAAAAAAAAATTAAATTTTGGGTTATTCAGTAGAGGCAAAAGTGGAATTCTGAGCAGACACAAAGCAAAGCACACGAAAACCAGGTTGAGAAGGGCAGTGCCCAGGGTGGCAGCTCCAAAGCATCCTCACAACCTCTTCACAGCACCTGCTCTGAAAGCCCCAAAGGTTCCCAAAAACTCGTATAAACACAGCGTTTTTGATATCAAAGCTTTCCTGC